GAAAGATTTCATGGCCATGAATTAAGAATTCGTTCGATTTATTAATTTGTTCCCTCATTTTAGTTAAATCATGGGTTATTTAAAGAACAAAATTAATGAAACATGGACAGTGGCCACAAATTAATAAGTCGTAGGAACGAATTTTGATTATTGCGACAGGCCTACGCGGAGCCCGATATGAAAGAATTATCTGGGGAAATGACTTAGTTACTACATTTCTATTGCTTTCCATGTTGAAGAACTTTGTGTTGTTTCTATTTAAATGTACTTTTAAAGTTTAAATCACATTAAAAGCTTAATTTGTACATTATGAATGAATGATGATGCATTTATACCGTAACCGTCACTCACAGCCGCCCGCATGTGTTTTGCGCATGAGCCGCATGCAGCCCAAAATTAAACGACCATGATAGCTTTAATCGATTGCATCTCTTATCGACAATTAATCGATCGTCGATTAATCGTTGACATCCCTAATATATATATATATACACACACATACAGTGCGGCCATGCGGTTGTCACGGCGACCGTCACAGCCCTAAATTTTACACACATTTGTTTTGGGTGATATTGAGGTCACTACAACATGCTATAATTTTTATAATATTCACTATAATTTTATATATTAAGTAGGGGAGTGACGAGACACTTATCCCACGAGACGAGACGAGACAAGACACGAGGCTGGGTTCACGAGAACGAGACGAGACGAGATTTTTAGACTTTTTTTAAAGAAATTCTCAATGATGAAAGATAAAGGGAAAAATAGTCTTTTATTCAACTGAAAAACACAAAATGCAAAAAATGTAGGTGCAACTTGTACTTTAAAAAACTAAACTTCTATTTTAATGAATTAAATGTAGCAATAAACAACATGTAAACTAGAGCTGCACGATTCCGGATAAATTGAGAATCATGTTTTATATATATATATATTCTCTGAAGAAAAAAAAAAAGATTAGAAAACTAAACAAAACAACGTAATTTACTAGTGGTTCTGACAAAATGTTCATTGCTTAAGTCTTTTTAAAACATATATTCATTTGAACAAAAAAATAAAAAATAAATTCAATGAAGGAGTCAGTGTCTCAATTCATAAAGACCTGTTTCACAATTGGAATCTCCTGAATGAATGATTCAAGGACAAATACTTTTTTTAAATGGGCAGTTGTCACCACCTCCTGGAGGAAGAGTATAAGCGTTACAATACATACAAGTGTCAAGATACTTTCATTTTGATCACTACTGTAGAGAATAAGTGTTTATATCCAAACTATAAACTTTTATCCCAGTACTTCTGTTATTTAAATGTCTGTAACACAGAAATAATGATGTGTGGTTGAAAAGACTGTTTGTGTTGCTCTTTCTGGATCAGCAGCAGCATGAATGATTAACACGGGCAGCGACAAAACGTGCTTCTCACGCTCCACTGACACTCGTGATGTGAAACAGTCGTAATAGACATAGCTGAATCGTTGTCATTCAGGAATAAGATTGCGTGGGTGTTTGAATCGATATCGCGATCTTTAAACGTTTAATCGTGCAGCTCTAATGTAAACACAAATTGTTTTGCGAGGATATCGTCACGTTCTCGTGAGACCAGTCGGATCTCGTGAGATCTTGTGCCACGAGATCTCGTCACATACCTAATATTAAGTATAATATTCAAAAAACCTAACATAACCATACCTGTAGTATTGCGAGAACCACTGATTGTTCACATGACATGGGGGTAGGGGGAATCCTAATTCTCACGAGAACTTTGATATTTCTCATGCCATGGGGAAGGGGAAAACATAATTCACATGGTTTACAGGGGAGGAGCAAACATATAAAAGCTCACTTATGCTCTCTCTCTCTCTCAATTGAAAATGGCCTCTAAGCAAAGGTTTTCTGTCAATGAGATTTTGTCACAGGTTTTTGACAGTGAAAGTGACAGAGGAGAATGTGTCTGAGACAGATGATAATCTTGAGGAGGACCCTGATTATGAGGCATCCTCCTCGGATGAGAATGAGACTCCCAGTGTTGACCCTCCTGTTGTCTCTCAACCACCAGCAGACACATTACCTTCCAAAAATGGAAAGCTATTATGATCCCGCTCCCCACTTGAATGCCAAGGTAGACTTAGTGCTGCTAATGTCATCAAAATGGTTCCAGGGCCCACCAGATATGCTGTCAGCCATGTCTAAGATATAAAACCAGCATTTCAGCTGTTTACTACACCATCAAATGAAAAGGATAAACTTGAAATGGCAAACTTACAGGGGAGAAGGGTGTATGGGGACAGTTGGAAAGACTTTGTGACTGACTTGCAAGCTTACATTGGGTTGCTCATTTTGGCAGGAGTGGACAAGTCAAAAGGAGAAGCAACAGCAAGCCTTTGGAATGCTGACACTGGAAGGTCAATATTTCCAGCCACCATGTCTCTAAAGACATTCCATGTTTTCTCCCTTGTTATACGCTTTGATGACAAAGAAACAAGACAGGGCCGACGAGAGTGTGACAAACTTGCAGCAATAAGGGATGTATGGGACAAGTGGGTCCAGCGATTGCCCTTTCTTTACAATCCAGGCCCCCACATCACTGTGGATAAATGTCTGGTTCCATTTTGTGGCCGCTGACCCTTCAGACAATACATGCCACGCAAACCAGTCAAATATGGCATAAAAATATGGGCTGCATGTGATGCACAGTCCAGCTATGCCTGGAACATGCAGGTGTACACTGGTAAATTCCCCGGAGAAGCTCCTGAAAAAATCAGGGCATGAGGGTGGTACTAGACATGGCCGAGGGACTGAATGGCCACAACATTACATGTGATAATTTTTTCACATTGCACATTGAGGAACTGCTAAAAAGGAAGGTTACCATGTTGGGGACAGTGAGAAAAAATAAGCCTGAGCTTCACTCTGAGCTTTTTGTGATGAAGAACAGAAAGGTAACATCTTCAATATTTGCCTTCACTGAAAAAGCCACTGTTGTCTCCTATTGCCCAAAGAAAGGGAAAAAATTTCCTGCTAAGGAGCGCTATGCACAAAGATGCTGGTCTGAGCACCAGAGAAGACAGAAAACCACAAATGGTCCTGGACTACAATGAGACAAAGGGAGGTGTTGATAATTTAGACAAGGTCACAGTCACCTATAGCTGCCGATGCATGACTGTCCGTTGGCCCCTTGTCATTTTCTTCAACATCATTGATGTGAGCGTCTACAATGCCTTTGTGCTATGGAGTGAAATAAACAAGGACTGGAACAGCGGAAAACTGCGGAGTCGAAGCAGCTGGGTTAAGAGCTAGTGAAACCTCACATAGAGAGAAGACGGCGCCTTCCAAGAGCATCAACGGCTGCTGCAACTGTTATGAAGGACATAGAAATGGAGACACACACTCCAGTGGTTCAAACTGCAGACAGGAAACGTGGCAGGTGCCAGGTCTGTCCCACCAGAAATGACTCCAAGATCAGCAACACTTGTGTGAATTGCAAATAATACGTCTGCAAGGAGCATGCACACACTTTCTGTACATCATGTGCAAAGTAATGCACATAAAGGGAATGTACCTTCTGGTGGGCTGTTGAGGAAAAAATGCTGTTCATATTCTGTCAAACTCATATTCGTATAAAAAGCACTTACAGTCGCAATTCCTGACACAATGCTAAAATGTATTTTTTTTAGGTGATAATGACATTCTGTTTTAAAAATAAAATTGTTTTAAATGTTTGAATTTTTTTTCTGCAGTCAAACTGACCGCAAACATTATGCATGTTGCTATCTTTAAAAACAGAAAGAACTGTTATGTGTTCCTTACTGATGTTCTGATAGCAATGTTGTTTAAAAATGTTTTGTTTAAAAATAAAATCCTTCTAAATGTTTGAAATTGTGTTTGTTTTTCTTGGGGTCAAATCTCGATAATTAATTCAAATCAATAATATAATTCATACATGTGATCTCGCAGCACTACTTCATCTCTGTGTCATATTTAAAGCGGGCAGAATGCTAGATCTCCGCTGCGCATCGGGTGGTTCTTTGCCTCCGTCATGACGAGAATACTTAACGATGCATGCATTAAATAATTTAATACAGTTAGCTGTAAATTACACAAATGACAACAGAATTATTTTGTATTGTTCGAGTTAAGATTTATTTACTTATTTGTTTATTTTTGAAAAATGTAACAAGAGATTGAACATCTGAAATGACATCACTAAATAATAATAATAATAATAATAAAATATTTCCTATATATAAATATATATATAAAAGTGTGAGTGTGACGTGAGGCCAAGTATGGTGACCCATACTCGGAATTAGTGCTCTGCATTTATCCCATCCAAAGTGCACACACACAGCAGTGAACACACACCCGGCACACCCATTTTTTTGCAGTGGAGCAGTTGGGGGTTCGGTGCCTTGCTCAAGGGCACCTAAGTCGTGGTATTGAAGGTGGGAGAGAGCGCTGTACATTCACTCCCCCCCTCCTACAATCCCTGCAACCTTTGGGTTACGAGTCCGACTCTCTAACCATTAGGCCACGACTTCCCCCAAAAAGCACTAAACTGCTTAGCAGTGTTGCCAACTTAGCGACTTTGTCGCTAGATTTAGAGACTTTTCAGCCCCCTAGCGACTTTTTTTCCCAAAAAAGCGATTAGCGACAAATCTAGCGGCTTCTTGGACAAACCTTAACGAGTCTCTGTGACTCACTGGTACTGCTGCTCGAGCGCGAGGTCTTGCCTTCCTAGTGCGCGCACATCTTTCTCTCCCTCTCTCTCTCTCTCTGTTTGATCTGTTCAGCGAGTGGCTGAGAGGAGCAGTGCTTTTTAAGTTAAAATAGATATGTTGCTTCTCTAATTTAACATGTAATTTTTGCCAAAATCACAGCACAGGAATTGTCTTTGTCTTGTCTTATCTTATGTGTATTTGATTTCATCAGACGTCGGCTCAATTATAAATCAGGATTTTTGTGCAGATTAACATCTTGGAAGGGAGAGCTGGTTATGTAGTCTTAAAGCGCCGCGTTTCAGTCACTCTTTCATATTTATCCCGTTGTCTGACAACAGAAACAGTAAAATATATAAATGAAAACAGTTTTATTGAGAATTTGGCTAAATTAAAATACAGCATGTGAGCACAGAGAGACAAACAAATGTTAAAGTCAATACGACGCGATGACGTCATTAATATGCTAATTAGCATATATCTAGCGACATTTAGCGACTTTTGAAACTGGCTTTAGCTACTTTCCATTGAAAGAAGTTGGCAACACTGCTGCTTAGTTTAACCTCAAGCATTACTGTTATGTTGGTCCATATAAAGCGTACCGGGACCTAATTGCTTTCACAAATCACAAGGAAATTGAACCACAAACGGACCCACAAACGAACCAAACTCAGTACGGTTCACTTTTGGGTCATTTTAGGGGAGTCTGAGATCACTTGTTTGTTCACATATACAAGATGAACCGCTCCTAGAGCGTTTGCAGGGCTCAAACTAGGTGTGAAAACACACTTAATGAGAGATGACAACCAGAAAATGAAAATTTTCGTCTTCATTGGGATTGGTACTGAATGCTTTGGGACATTTTGCTCTGTTTTGTTTAGGATTAGGAAATGGAATAAAATGCATTTCATTGCCCATCCAATCAGGGTACCTGGAATCTGAGTGACCGCACATCAGCATGTGATTACTCACTGAATGCCCTGCTATCAGTGTGAATGCTGTCTATATGAACGGCCATAAGAGTGTGACTATTGACTGTGTGGCCGGCCATCTGTATGATTACCATCTGTATGACCGGCCATCAGCAAGAGATTACTGATTGTATGACCAGCAATCAGTGTGAATGCTGCATGTCTGGCAATCAGAGTATGTACTTGACATGAAAAGCTAATTCTTTTTTTTTTCTCTCTTTTTTGGACTGTTGAACAAAAACACCCGCCTACTCCTATTCTAAAGCTCGGAAGAGCCAGGATAATTTTTTATATAACTCCGATTGGGATATGATAGTCTCGCAAATTTGTTTACAGGAGCAAAGGAAGCAAAGTTTCCTTACTTTAGCAAAAGAAAACCAGTCTCTTCTTGGCTTATATCGAAATCCACCTACATTTTTCTTTACAAATCCTTGTTTTGTACTTCTAATTAGTGACCGGCGTTTTGTTTTGGTGTCTCTCATCCACGCTTCCGCGTTCGTCACTAATCACTGGCGCGTGCTCTACGCATACGTCAACCGCCCGGAACAGCTTGCACGTATGAGAGTCAGCAGAAGTGAGAGAAATGTGTTTATAACATTTCAAATATGGATATTTTTCTTACAAAAACACATCGATTCGCTACAGGAGGCCTTTATTCAACCCTCGGAGCCATGTGAGGCACTTTTTATTACGGATGCGCGTGCTTTATTTGACTACTTTTGGACTGTTGAACAAAAACACCCGCCTACTCCCATTCTAACGCTTGGAAGAGCCAGGATCATTTTTAATATAACTCCGATTGGATTCATCTGAAAGAAATCAGTCATATACACCTAGGATGCTTTGAGAGTGAGTAAAACATGGGCTAATTTGCATTTTTGGGTGAACTAACCCTTTAATATATTTCTTGCGCTGAACACAAAAGAAGATGTTTTGAAGAATGTGGGTTACCAAACAGTAGCCGGTGCACATTTGATAGTAGGAAAAAATACTATGGAAGTCTGTTCAACAGTTTGGTTATACACATTATTCAAAATAACATTTATCATAACATCATAATATTGTTTTCTGTGAATAAGTGAACAGGATG